ACCACCCCCTGAGTCCCTGAGTAACTGGGTTAACTGTCCCAGGGAGAGCAGACACACTGTGGACTCCTATGTGACCTACCAGCAAAAATTAACACTGGCATCAACTGATAGTCTAGGAAATCAACATTATGTGTTTGTATGTGGCATAACTAAAACAGTATGGTAGGAGAACAATAACAAAAAGCCAAACATATACTTACACGTTTCAAAATTGTGAATATGTGAGGAACATTCAGAAGGTCTGAGTCTGAATATGAAGAGGGTGTGGCTGAGTATGTTAAATGGCATAGGCATAGCTGCTCTCTAAATCACCAAAAAGGCAATGCCCCAACTGTCGCCCTGTCCCAACCGACCCCGCCTTTGCCTACAATGCAGGACGTCCTGCTTACTTGACACTCACAGAAGCCTGTATAGTTTATTTGCTTTTTATCTGTTTGTCCAGAACTGTAACTGGTGAATGTGCTTATTTTCATGATCCATGCTTTAAACATATATCTAATTATTTTATGACATTTCGCATACTGTACACCTCACATGTACACATATACCATAAATGTCATATAATGTAACATCTATATATTGAGATAATGATTTTAACATGTGACCTTAATGTAACTGTAACCAGTTACAGATACCGAGAAAACATATGGAATTAGATTACAGTTACTAATCAAAATGTTGGTGATCACAAAGGGTTACATCCAAATGTATTCTTTTCAGTGAAAGATTTCTATGTAGAATCAAAATTTAATTTGGTTGCTTTGCATCTTTTTCATTGTGCAGGAATTACTGTCTTTAGCAGAGCTGTTTCTGGACATTTTTTAGATTTATTGCCCAGTTTGAAACATTTATTAGAAAAGTAATCAAAATGTAATGTACAGTTACTTTACTTTGAAGTAATTAAAAAAGCTACAATACTTATTACATTTTTAACAGGGTAAGTAATCTAAAACTTATTACATTTCAAAATGAACCTTCTCCACACTGCCTCCACATACCTGTGTATGAATGTACAGTAGCTTTATTGTATAGTTATTCTAAATACTCATCTATGCAATTCCATTGAAGTAAGTAGTAGACTTATGGACCAACATAGGCCTTGTGGACCAACAGCATATTACCGGGTACTGTGTATGGTCCTAGTTTTGTTCAGTTTCCAGTTTAAGTTTTTGGTTTATCACTATTAATGTTTCTATTAATGTATTTCTTGCCAAAGGCAACCTATTTCAATGTCCCTTTCTTTTGTGTGTTTTAGTCCATTGAAATAGGGTTTAAACTGTCTGTAGATCAAGGCCTATTGGGTATGCAAATATATTATTACATGTTGCTCATTCTGTGGCACACAAATTACAAGCTCTCCACCACCACAGCTCATGATGGCCCATTTGCAGCACAACATGTTGCCTAAGCTCGTGAACAACCACACGCTGTGAGCTGAGGAGTTTCTATATGTGTATTCCTGCCAAGGCTGCTTTTCAAGCTTCTGTTTCCACAATAAGAAATGCTGCAGGGCACTGTCAAGATGGGACATGAACATTTCACTTGTTGTCCCTAAGCTTAAGGTCAAAGTAAAATACAGGCTTGTTTGGCTTATGTCAGCAGACAGAACCAAACCTTAATCAACACATTTAACATTAAGAACTTAGAAATAAAACAGCTTTTGGCAATGACTTTGTGACAGGTTTAAATGTTGTGTTTTGGTCCAAAAGCTACTGATTCTGCCTTTACTGACTTTACTTTTCACTCAAGTCTATCTATGGGGAAATATATTCGAGTTTTGCTTGTTTATTTGTTCATTTGTTTGGTTGGTTGGTTGGTTTATGTTCAGTCAGAGACAGCTACTTTCAGAAACTTTGGTGGCTTCAGTGTGAAACCCTCAGCACTGGCAGCCTGAGGCATTTCACAGTCAGAGTACAAGTCTCATCTGGCACAGCAGCATCAGATCCCCGTTTACAATCAAATACAAGTTCCATCTTCTCTCACTTGACTCTGTCTGCTCCTAGCTGACAACATGAGTTCAGAAACACAACACACATCCGCCACCGATCAACGGATTAATGTTGCGCCGCCAGCACCGCTCGCCCACAGATTTGTAGTTACAGACTCATTATTGCGAACGCACATACCTGATCCTTCTCTTTCTTACTCCCAGCTTTTCCACCTCCTCCGTCCCTCTCTTTCTCTTGCTCCTTCATCCTGCTCCTCAGCCGCGTAGTCTGAACTCAAAGATCCCAATCAGCTGTGCGTCCTGCAGCTCCGCCCACAACCCCAGTCACACCGCCCCGCCTAACGAACAACTATCGCAGCCTCTCCCACTGTACACATATACTGTTCTGCTTACCAACAGAGGTGGAAGAAGCACTGAGACCTTTGACTCCGGTAAAAGTGTTAAAACCACATGATAAAAATACACATTACAAGAAATGGTCCTGCATTTTACATAATATAGCCTACTGTAATTTAGTTACATTTATAAGAGTGCATAATATATTTGAAAGTGATCAGGTTTTACATGTCAAATCTTCCTATGAAAAGTAACTAACTACAGTTGTCAGAATGTAACAAATGTAAGCTACAATATTTCCTTTTAAAATGTGGTTGAATAGACATATAAAACAGCAGAAAATTGAAATACTCAAGTAACTTACAAGTAACACTTTATATTAAGGTATTGTAATAAGCGTTAATTAAGATAGATAGAACTTTAATAAAACTTTACAGGAAATTAAAAATGTCACGGCAGCTTAATTACAAACAACACATAACATTCAAACCACAGAGTTACAAGTTAAAAAAATAAATAAATAAATAAATAAGATAAAAATTGACAAAAAGAGTCCCTTGTGTGATCTTGTCACCCAGCTGATGATTACACATATTAATGCTTAATAAGCACCAATTAACAGTTAATGTAATAATGTTTATTACCATAAATAAGACTATAAGTGTTAATTATAGCATGTTTCAATTATGCATATAGAGCATTATAAACATTTAATAGAAACTTGATAACAGTTTATCATAAATATTAATAAGATATCTATTTACATTAACTATGATTTATAAGGGTTAATTATAGAATAATAACCACATTTATTACTGGTTTATAAGACACTATAAGACCCTATCATATTAAATTAATAAGGTGTTATTAATAGGCCTAGTTAATAATGCATCTTTGCAGCTACTGCTGGATCTAAAGCAGGAACAGTGTCGTATAAAGGATAATAAATTATTAATATGCTCTCAGGGCTCGAAACTAAATGTAGAATATTTAAGTCAGGGTATGTGGATGCTGGACTGTAGGCATGGGGTGAACACTCTGGGTGTGCGTTCAGGCACAATGAAACACGTTGGGATCCAGGTTTCAGCTCATTTATTACAATAGGTGGTATTGCAGGGGGGGAATGGTAGCAATTGTGCAGCTGGTTTATATCTAGACAGAAACACACAACTTGTGTTATTATAAAATAAAATACAATCATCAAATGATAAGCAAATGATAAATGTATGACTGGAACTAAAGGAGTTAACATAATTGTCATTTTGGCTTAGCATCTTAGCAACATAAATACCACGAACATAAATGTACAATGCACAGAGAAACTCGCATATTACGCAGTTTCACAATGGCTGCCAAAGGGTTAGCTGCTCTGTGGGAAGGCTGCTGCTGCTCCTGCTGCTGCTGCTGGCAGGAGAAAAGATTCACACCTGATGCCAATATATAGGCTCTGCCCAACCTTGCTCCTCCTACTTCCTGCTCACACAGTTCCTTCTTCCTGCTCATCAAAGTTCCTCCTCCCTCCTGCTCTTCAGTACAGCCGCCCCTCGCATATGATATTCATATTTGATTTCCGTGAGGAGCATTAGGGGGTGTAGTGTCCTCTTCCGGGATAGCAGGTAAGGCAATCGATCTACATACTGGGTGCTTATAATGTTGACCTCTACTACACAAACTTTACCGTCTTGACTTGGTAGGAGACGTTGGACCCTTCCTATGGGCCAGAGGGCTTGTGGCAGCTGTGGGTCGATTACCATGATCACGGTGGATATGGCAAGGTTGGGGTTGGGGTGAGAAATTTCTGCCTTAGCTGCAGGGTAGGGAGGTAGTATTTGATGTACTGAGCACAGAAGTGGTCGGCCAGAACTTGACTGTGGCGCCATTAAGCATTGCTTGAAATCTGGCCTGCCTATTGATAAGCTAAAATTTACTCACATGCGTAACAAAGTAGTACATCCCTTGAGAAAGGCCAAAGCAAATTTTTTTATTTCCATAATCGAGGGTGCAAAGGGCAACGGGAAGAAGGTGTGGCAAACTTTGAATAAACTATTAGGTAAGGATATCAAACACAAAACAAACACTCTTGAACTAAAAATTGATAATGTTATGGTGAAAGATCCCTCTCGCCCGATGTCAGCTGGGTAGGCTCCAGCCCCCCCACGACCCTCAAGAGGATGAAGCGGTTAGAAGATGAATGAATGAAGATGGTGAAAGATCCTGCAAGAATTGCAACCACTTTTAACAATTATTTTTTAGACAGTGTGACCGAAATAACAAGACTTTTTACTCCTTCAACTATTGTACGCCTCTTGATCAGTGATGTGCAGGCCATTTTTCAGCTGGCAAACATAACAGAGACAGAAGTCACAAAGATCATTTGAGCACTCAAATGTTCCAAAACAAAAGATGTACACGGTATCGACACAAACTTCATAAAGACACATTCTCATGCATTACTCAAACCCATTACCCACTTGGTTAACTTATCAATTAACCAAAACAAAGTCCCGCCAGCCTGGAAGGTGGCCACGGTGACTCCCATTTTTAAATCTGGCTCCAAAACACAGGAGGCCAACTACAGACCAATCAGTATATTGCCAATTGTTTCCAAGGTAGCTGAGAAATGGGTAGCGAATCAACTGATCAAACATCTGGACGAAGGTCTCACTCCATTACATCCTATGCAGTTTGGCTTCAGACCTTCACACCATTCCACTGAGTCAGCCAATTGTATGTTCACTGAAGAAAAAAAAAAAAAGAAAAGAAAAAAAGAAAAAAAAAGTGTCTGTTGGATAAATCCCCATGTGTTGGTGCTGTATTTCTTGACCTTAAGAAGGCATTTGACACCGTCGACCACCAGGTACTCTTAAACAAGCTCACATTTTTCAACTTCTCTGATAACACCATGCAATGGTACAAATCATATCTGTCAAGCAGACCTCAATGTGTAACTGTCGACGGGATCAAATCGCCTTTTCACACTACAACAGTTGGTGTCTCTCAGGGTTCGATCCTTGCGCCTTCGTTATTTTCACTGTACATAAACGACCTCCCAGATGTGTGCCCAGACCTTAATGTCCAGATATATGCGGACAACGCAGTCATTTTCTCACACGGTCCAAACTCTGTCATTACCTCCAACAAACTCACAAATGCTTTAACTAAGGTACAAGACTGGCTTAATAACAACTGCCTTATGCTCAACACAAAAAAATGGTATGTATATCATTCACAAAGCAACTAGTAGTGCAGAACAGATCCAACGTATTCATAGGAGAAGAGGAACTTGAATTGGTAACCCAATTCAAGTACCTTGGTATCACATTAGATACGAATCTCACATTTAAGAAACACATCAAAAAAGTGTCCAACATGATAAGATTCAGCCTGCAAAATTTTTAACAAATTAGGCCCCTCATCTCGTCTGATGCTGCTAAATCTTATCTCCACTGCATGATTCTGTCTCATGTTGAGTACTGTTTTGTGATATGGTCGTTTGCTGCCACACTGAAACCTATGGAACAACTCTACAAAAAAGCCATCAAGGTATTCACCAAAAAACCATATTCCTCACATCACTGTCCAATTCTTGCAAGGTACAATTTTTCGAGTTTTGATCATTTTAAAACTTTTAAATACAGCTGCCTCATCTATAAAACTCTCAACGGGCTGGCTTCTCCCCCGCTGGAGGATTTTTTTAAATGGAGAGACAACACGCTCAGTACCAGAACTGCCTCCAGAGGGGACTGCGAGGTGCAGTTCAGACGACCCTTTATAGGCCAAAATTCCCTTACTGTAAAGGGCAGTGCAGGTTGGAACGGTCTCCCAACCTCAATCAGAGACAGTCCCACTCTCACTACTTTCAAAAAACAGCTTAAAGGATGGCTATTGACTCATCAAATCTGCACCCATTGATGAAACATTGATCAGCCATCTCATACAGTTTTCTACTGTAGCCCCTTGTTGAATCTGTTGTATAACTGCTGCTAATATTGTTGTGCACTTTATATGTTGTTGATTTAACTGTTATTTATGGTATGTCTGTCTGTCTTTTAATGTGAGGACTATGGATGGAAATTAGCTTCTAGCTAAATCTGGCATATTTACATGACGTCATGTATTTCTACCGATTGTTCATTAATATGCACTGTCCTCTCCAAATAAACAATAAATGAAAAAATCTACGGTTGGACAAGAGTTCTGTGTCTCTGTATATGACTTGTGGAAGGGAAGCATCCAGCCGCCCCATGAGAAGAAAATTTAGTCCAGGGGCCAAGGGGCTAATTTTCACAAATTGGTATCACTTAAAGGGACCAAACAATTTTGGTATTTTTGACTTCCTCTATGTCTCTAGTTTACATTTTGGTATGATAGACTTGCCTTTCTAGTAGCTTAATAAATTTGATGATCTTTGGGTCCTCCCCAAAATTGAAAATAGTCAAAATTGAGGCTTCTCCAAAAGGGACAGTACAACACTACAAATAGGGTGAAAAATTAACTAATAGATATTCCCATGTAACTTGCCCAGTTGATCACTCATATTAAGACAAGTATTTTTTGTATTACAAATTTTCTGAGATATTTTATTTAAATATGCACCAATTTTGTTAATGAAGACAATCACAAGGAGTGGAAATTGATTACGCAGTTACTGTGCTAACACTCAGTGTTACTGTAGCCTACAGTAGGCCTACTAGCACTGCCCATTTGCTATTTGACCCATAACTAGGAGGCAACGGGAGTGCTACCGCTTGCCTAAGGCGGACTCCCAGGCTAGCAGAGGGAAGGAGGTGCCTTATTTCTCCATTGTAGGCCGTCCTAAAATAGGGGGAGCCACCTGCTGCCCTCATCCTAACTAACACTACTATATAGCTACTATACTGACTTTCGCGCTAACTGTATAGGAAACTGTTTGGGCTTAAC